AAAAAGAGGAAAGTCTAAAACTTAATAAGGCCTGGCTCCCAGCACTGGAAAATACAGTCAAAGTCAACAAACTCTACCCAGCCACAAGGACCAGGGATCATTGCACAAATAAGACCAGCTAAAGACACCCATCAATCACAGTGACAGATAATCTCTCCCTCTTATCACAACAAATACATCCACACTGATCACCATCATCACCCTATCTCCTGAAAAGGACAAAAGCTGTTCCCACAGCTATAAATACTCAACTATCCAACAAACAGCAACAGAGCATAGACTGAGTTCCTGCTCCAGTCCTCTGAAGATGCCGGCCAAAGAGACTGGTGATATGTCAGGAAGAACAACCTTCAGAACACGGCCAAAGAGCCCGAAAAACCCACAATAGCCAAGGCTGTATATTGTCTCCATGTTTATTTAACTTGTATGCAGAATACATCATGCGAAAGGCTGGACTGGATGAATTCCAAGCCGGAATCAAGATTGCCGGAAGATATGTCAACAACCTCCAATATGCAGATGATACCATTCTGATGGCAGAAAGTGGGGAGGAATTAAAGAACCTCTTAATGAGGGTGAAAGAGGAGAGCGCAAAAATGGTCTGAAGCTCAACATAAAAAAAACTGAGATCATGGCCACTGGTCCCATCACCTCCTGGCAAATAAAAGGGGAAGATATGAAGACAGTGACAAATTTTACTTTCTTGGGCTCCATAATCACTGCAGATGGTGTCAGCAGCCACAAAATTAAAAGACGTCTGCTTCTTGGGAGGAAAGAGATGACAAACCTAGACAACATCTTAAAAAGCAGAGACCTCACTTTGCTGACAAGATCCGCGTAGTCAAAGCTATGGTTTTTCTAGTAGAGATGTATGGCAGTGAGAGCTGGACCATAAAGAAGGCTGACCGCCAAAGAATTGATGCTTTTGAATTGTGGTGCTGGGGTAGACTCTTGAGAGTCCCCTGGACTGCAAGGAGATCAAACCTATCCGTTCTGAAGGAAATCAACCCTGAGTGCTCACTGGAACAACAGATACTGAAGCTGAGGCGCCAATATTTTGGCCATCTCATGAGAAGAGATGACTTCCTAGAAAAGACCCTGATGCTGGGAAAATGTGAAGGCCAGGAGGAGAAGGGGATGACAGAGGATGAGATGGTTGGGCAGTGTCATCAAAGCTAGCAACATGAATTTGACCGCACTCTGGGAGGCGGTGGAAGACAGGAGTGTGTGGCATGCTCTGGTCCATGGGATCACGAAGAGTTGGCCATGACTTTATGACTAAACAACAACCTCAGATGAGAAGTTAATATGAAATATTAAACCGTGTCATTGTTTATTTTACAAAAAAATAAAGCCAGGATGGAGAAACCATGTGTGAAAAACTAAGTACACCCTTATTGCTTCCATAGGAATTAAGTAGCAGTCCTTGACAGCTCGCTATTGTAACACAGCCCAAACAAATACAGTGGTGCCTCGCTTGACGACGTTAATTTGTTCCAGCGAAATCGCTGTAGAGCGAAAACATTGTCAGGCGAAATAAAAAAGCCTATTGAAATGCATTGAAAACCATTCAGTGCATTCCAGTGGGCTGAATACCTGCTCGTCCAGTGACGATCCTCCATACAGCGGCCATTTTTGGGTGCCTGTTAAGCGAAAAATGCCTCCTAAAAACAGCGGGGAGCCATTTTGAGCAGCCGGCAGCCATTTTGAAAACCTGACAATCAGCTGTTTTGATCGTCGTAATGTGAAGAATCGGTTCCCAAAGCAGGGAACCGATCGTCACAAAGCGAAAAAACTCCATTAAAACATCATTTTGCGATTGCAAAAAATCATCGTGAAGCGGATTCGTTTTATGAGGTAATCGTTAAGCGGGGCACGACTGTACCTTTCAAATAGAAACTTAGAATGTTAGGGAGAAATTTCTTGTCCTTTCCCTCCTCACTTTTTGTTGATTTTTAAAAATAAATTATTGTGTAAATATATTGAAATAGAATAGTACAAGATATTTAAAATCTTGGTGACAGTCTAGCAGGAAATAGTTTGTTGCTACCTTATATTGCTGAATATATAGGTTTGATTTTAGATGGCTTTTCCAAAGGATTGGATATTTTTGTGGCCAATAGTTGGTAGGCCATAATAACTAAATGGAACTGCTATGTAAAATAGCTCTGAATGCTAGAGAATCAGTATAAACAATAACTACAGCCTGCATGTCCTGCTTGGTAGCTTTTACATGCAGCTTGCTGTGTTAGCTATTGGAAACAATGCCGAATTAGGTGTTCTGGCAACACTGTTCTCTTCTTGGCCTTAGATCTGCTGCTGTTCTCTGTGGCTCGGGTTAAGTGTTTCTGACTTTAAATGGGTTTTTAATTATCTTTTGTCTGTAAACGATACAATATGGTTGGGCTATGATAACTCTTAATTTGTGTTTCATTTAAAGGAAAATGAAATCCAGAAGAATGTCAGATCATCTAGAGAGAACAGCAAACAATTTTCGTCAGGAGGTTGGTATTCTATTATAGAGGCCTGAAATGTATTATATATGCTGAAGAGATAAGTTTAATAGTGTTTTGGCTGTTCTCTGTGAATGGTCTGTTTCATTTATCATTCTTTAGTGATTGCATAATCCTCCGAACAAATGCTTAAAAATAGATTAATCTCATATATCTTGGTGATTTTAAAATAAAAGGTAAAGCTGAGCTGAAATATATGTAAGAAAAAATGTGCCTTAGCAGCTAGTTCTTCTGTAATTATTTTGGCAGCAGTAATGACCAGTAGTTATATATATTCCAAGCACAGAAATCCAGTTTTCAGAGAAGAAATCAGAGTCTTAAGAGTACTTGCAGTGGCAGAATTTTTTAAAGATCAGTTTTCCCTTACAAGTTCCTCTGGTAACTTGTAATTCAAACCTTCAGAAAAAATTATCCCAAAACAACATTTCCCCTGCCTGCTATTGTAAATTGTAGTGAAGATTGTGTATAACCATGCCTGCCCTTTAAATAAATATATATATTTATAAACTGGCATTATGATAATACCTTTATTAAGATCAATCCAAATGGCGCAAAGTTGGAAACAAGCTTTCAGGTCCTCCAGAACTTTCTGGACAGATGTTCAGCAAGAAGGGAAAGGAAGAGGTAGAAGCTTGGGCTGGGTTTCCCCAAATTTTACATTTTGTAATAGTCTTCCTGAAGGAAATCATCCCTGAGTGCTCACTGGAAGGACAGATCCTGAAGCTGAGGCTCCAACAAGACCTTAATGATCCTCTAACCATGTAAACCCCAAACACTGAATCAGGACAGGTGATTCGATGAAGGCATAGAACAGCATGACTCAGACATAATAGGTTATCTATCATCATGGAATACTACAGGCTTTAGAAGGAGGGTAAAGGTACTTGACACTAAAGCAGCTAAAGAGTCTTCCAAAAAGGAAAAATATTCCCTCAGCACTGAGTGCAACCAAAACCAAATATTTATTTTAAATAGGCAAGGGCTGGTTTTAAAATTTAAAATTATGAACAGTTTTAAAAATGAAAGGCCTAAAATGGCAATCAGTTTTAAAAATGAAAGGCCTAAAATGGCAATGCAAAGATTTAAATCACTTTTTCACAGTGTGGTTTAATAGTATCCATATCCCCACAGGTAGGTTCTGTATCCTTTTTTACTACCACTTTCTCCCATCTCTCAGAGATACTGTTACCGTATCTTAACATTCAGATGGTAAAACATATCCCTAAGCTGCTATTAAAAAAAAACTGTAACATGTATTGCTATTGTTCTCCATTTGATATTGCCTGAGGTAAGAAATCCTGAGTGCTCACTGGAAGGACAGATCCTGAAGCTGAGGCTCCAATACTTTGGCCATCTCATGAGAAGAGAAGACTCCCTGGAAAAGACCCTGATGTTGGGAAAATGTGAAGGCAAGAGGAGAAGGGGACAACAGAGGACGAAATGGTTGGACAGTGTCATTGAAGCTACCAACATGAATTTGACCCAACTCCGGGAGGCAGTGGAAGACAGGAGAGCCTGGCGTGCTCTGGTCCATGGGGTCACGAAGAGTCAGACATGACTTAATGATTAAACAACAACAAATAGTCTTAGAAAAAGTGATGGAAGAGTAACACAGATGGGCTTGTTCCTTCTTTTGTGAAACTTAAGAATCTAACTGCCCAAGTTCTTTCTTAGCAGGGACACTTTTGTGATGTTAGTTTGGTAATCAAGTTTATTTACAAGTCTCAAAAATGTAAGAAAAAGCTAGGCTACAAGTAGGTAGAGAAATAGGAGACTATTCTTTGTTAAGGTTGCTCTGGATTGAACTCATTTGCTGTAAATGGCTTATATGCAAGACTTGTAACATTATTTGTCCTGAGTTTAAATCAGGCTTGTCCAACCTGCGGCCCGAGGGCCGCATGCGGCCCAGGTAAGCTCGTAATGCGGCCCAGTGCAATTTTTTATTTTTAAAGAAATTCCAAAGTTTCAAGTTACACTGCTGGCGCTTGCAGCTGGAATATGGCCGGGGAATGTCACAACAGTAGAGGGGGAGAGAGGGAAGGAGGGGGAGGGGAGGGGACGGGGGCTGCGTGACTGCATTGTGCCGTCCCCGTCAATAGGTGGACCCCCTCCCAGCCCCATAAAGCCGCCGGAGTCAAAGGTGGCAGCCTCTGCTGTCTGAGATCGCAGCTGCCGGTAAGCGCGCTTGGAGCGGGGCTGCGGAGGACAGCTAGAGCTGCCCCCCCCATGCGGCCCAAATCAAATGTATGTGCGGCCCAAACCAAATTTTAATCTTCTAATGTGGCCCAGGGAAGGTGAAAGGATGGACACCCCTGGTTTAAATGATAGGAAATGTGAACAGGGTAAAGCCAGACTGCCCATTCTTATCCTGGGGCTTCAACAACAAGGATAACATTTAACAAGTATCCTGAAGGCATGCTATTTAGCTAGTAGAGTAGTTTTCTTCCTCAAGTTGTCTTTTAAAAAAGCATGTTAGTCTTTTGTTGGCAAGTGTCCTGTTGTTTTACTGGACAGTGGACATGTTCAAATATTTTTATGAAGAAATTCATTTCCTGCCATATGTTTTAAATTAAATTGTAGCTGGTTAAATTTCATTTGTTGGACGCCAGTCCTTCTGGATGGGAAATGACACAGTTGTAATTCTATATGAGATTATGTATTTTAAAAAATACTACTTTTGGAGCTGCATCTTAAACATGACTTTTTGGCACATTAAAATATTCGATGGATGATAATTCAATAATTCCAAATGATTGCCTCATGAGTGGATTGACAAGATGCAGGCAATGAAAAAGAGCAGAAATACTGTACAAGGGAAAGCTGTTGAAAATAACTTTTCAGTTGGAGTAAACTAAACTAGCTTACATAAGGTTTGTTGTGGTTTGTTATTTATTATTAAACAACAACAACAACAATGCATATTTCTGTATGTATTTTTTTCCAATTTATTTATTTAAAATGTTTTTTATCCCACCATTCGCCTTTAAAAGGACCCAGGGTGGAAATAAATTTATTTATTAATTATATTTTTATACTTCACCATCTAGTGGCCTTGCCACTACTGTGGGCAGTTTCCAGCAGTAAAATAAACATACAAAGAAAAGCCAAATGTCACCCAGACCAGAAATATAAAATAAGGTATTCTGGGTGCTTAGCAATATTATTGTTGTTGTTGTTGTTGTTGTTGTTGTTGTTGACGTTGTTGACATTGTTGTTAACGTTAACAGCAGCAGCAGCAACAAATTAAACAGAAGCAAAAATAAAAATAAAAGAGCAAATCAACTCAAGATGTCATAGAACTGTGCAAGCAATATCCCATAATAGGGCTAGCTCAGAGAGATTAAACCAAAGAAAAGCAACAAATCAAATCTCTAATATTTAGTAATGAAAGTACTAGGCCACAGCCTTAAACACAGTTCAAAGTAAGCGCCACTGTCCATAGTGGGACTTCTCTATTAACATGCATAGACTTAACCGCGGATGAAATCCTATTGCTTAACAGAAGAAAATTTATAACTTTCAGCCTGTTCCCAGCTAGCAAATAAAGAGGGCCGACAGCAGTACTCAAGGGTGTGACATTCACTGGTTTGTCTTGAGAAGAGGGCATGCATGCAATGAACCAGTGGGCTTTATATTTGCTTTTTGGGAATGGACTGAAAGTTACAAATGTTCTTATGCTAAGCAACGAGACTTCAATTATATATTAGAAGCTGTAGGAGTGTAGGCTGGTTGAAAATTAGTTGACACAGTTCACCATTGGTGATGTTTGCCCCCAAATGATATTTCTGAACATACAGTATCTTCTCACCTGAATCTGGCATCTTTTTTCTAAAACATAGGTGGGTTGTTGTTTTTTTGTCTTTCAGATTATTTCGAAAGCCAAAGTATGTGGAATCACCGATGAATCGGCAAGAGTAAAAAGACTCCGATTGGCAGTAGCGGATAAAGACTTTACTTTTAAGGCAGGACAATGGTAAGTTTCTTTGTTTTGAATGCATTGAATAAAAGGCATATTTGTCTCTACAAATAAAAGCAAGCAAGCAATTTCTATAATCTTCATGCTAACAAGAAGACTTTTTCTTTAGCCAGCTTTGTATGAAATAACTGGTTAAAACAATCTGGGAATTTTTCCAGATTTTCTCTCTATGCAAAACATGTCTCCATTAAACAAAGAGAGTAAATCTCAGTTATACCCTTTTTCAAATGATTCCTACTCAATGTTTAGTGCTGTGTTTTTCCAAAGAGACTTGTTCTGGGGAATCCTTCAAACTCTACCTATCAGTGTACTGGTCTGCAAATTACTTTCTGGGACTCTCTAAGTTGCTTCACTCAATGTGGTTTCTGGGAACACGTGCTTCTGAAATGCCAGTGTCACTTGCCATATGGAAAACCTTTGAAAAGGAAGGCGGTTTCAAAAGCCTTTTGATATAACACATGGGAATCTGCTGCTGTAAAAGGAAAAGTCAGCCATTTGTCTGGGAAGGTTTTGCATGGTGTTTGAAAAAGTAAATCCAAATATATCATTTCACATACGTAAGAGCTTTATCATCTTGTCCACAGAACTGTTGTGTAACAAACCTGTAGGATGTCTGTGTTAATTATCTTGTAAGTATTGTCATGGTGGCGCTGCGCGTTAAACCGCTGAAGCCTGTGTGCTGCAAGGTCAGAAGACCTGCAGTCATAAGATCGAATCCATGCGACAGAGTGAGCCCCCATCACTTGTCCCAGCTCCCACCAACCTAGTGGATTGAAAGCATGCAAAAATGCAAGTAAATAAATAGGTACCACTATGGTTGGAAGGTAACGGCGTTCCGTGTCTAGTCACACTGGCCACGCGACCACGGAAACTGTCTACGGGTGTGAGCTGGCTCTACGGCTTGGAGACGGGGATGAGCACTGCGCCCTACAGTCAGACACGACTGGACCAAATGTCAAGGGGAACGAACCTTTACCTTTTTAAGCATTGTCAAAGCAGCATTCATGGTTGTCTTTTCTGCTTAAATTTATTTGGATCCAGCTCCAGAGGATTGGTCTTATTATATGTATATCTGTGTTTTGTCAGCATCTTTAGCTTTCTCTTGAAGTTCAGGTGACATGTTGAGGCTGATCTGAAGGATGCCTATCATTCTTGACAAGGCCCTTCCCCCTCCCTTGCCCTTCTTGTTTTATTTTCTGTTGTTAGTCCATCTGCCAAACAGGTTCTGTAGGTCCCAAACTTTGTCTCTTAACATGTTAATAGCATGAGTAACTAATGCAGTGTTAATTTTGCAGTCTTTCACATTTAGAGAAAGAAAACAAGATGTTGATTGCAATAATTTATGTTTGTGGAGCAATTTGCAGCCGCCTTTGCACATATGCCCAGATGCATACTAAATGTGTGCTTGCTGGTTCTTGGAAAAACATTTACCCTTCAAAAATGTTTTGGTAATTATCACACTGAAAACTGGGTTCTTTAATTGTAATTACTCTTTTCATTATCTTCCTTTTTAAAGTATTCTAATTCTGTTGGCATGCTAACTTTCCACCAGTGCAGCTTCTGAGTGTGATTGTGTTATAATGAGAGGTATTAAGAGCCAGGCTATGAGGGAAAAGGTTAATAAACCCCCTATACAGTGAAGTTGTTGAGTTTTTGCTTCTGTTGTAAACATACACAACTCTTGTCTTTTGATTTACACAATAAAATTGGTTTCTCTACCAGCAGCTTCCATGAGCTCTGACTTTTTTTTTTGTTGTGCCCACCTATGAGTCCTACTACAAGTATAAGAGAGAGAATCATCACAAAAGTATCTGTGAGACTTCTGCATATTTAGGATTCTCTTAAACATTAGTTTTGGAAATGTTACTTTAAAAGATCTTTTTCTGTTTTTAAAGCCTACTTTTTCAAATACTTTCTATTATTCTCTGTACTGCTGGACTATTACTAACATAAGTTAGTTTGTGGGTAAATAAGTGTTTTGAATTTTTAGATTTCATTTTGGTAAATAGTTTACAAAGATGGATGCTATAGAATTTCTTATGAAGAACTAGAAAAAACTGAAGAAAAGCTAATAGATTGTTCAGTGCACGGCGACAAGCGTCCTGCTAACCAAGGCTCTGAGTCTACACAGATAGTGAATCATATTCACTTGAGAGTAGTATCTTGTTGAAACTGATTCACCTATAGCACACTTACAAATAGCAGAGTTGGGCAGAAAGTAGATTGGGACCTACTGGTGGATCTCAAAATACTTTGCAATAGATTTCGCACCCCTTGGTTTACAAAAGAAACAATAAAAAGCCTCCCATTCCCAAAGAATTAGGTTGTTGAAACTGAATGTGTTGAGGGACACCGCTACTGGGTTTGTGTGTGAAAAGTTTCTTTGAGCACATACTTTGGCTTAGCATGTGCTCAAAAAAACCTTAATCTTTAAAAAGCACATAGACAACCCCCCCAAGACACACACTTTGTGCCATTTTTCTTGCATCCACCAAGTTTACTGGCTCTGATATACATATCTCTACAGAAGTGTCATTGTTTTCAGTGGAGATTTATATGGGATAAGTATCCATCATGTTACAGAATTGGGTTCAATTCAGATTAGTGTATTTATGCTCAGCCGAACGGCTATTACAAAGCATAATGCCATACTGTACATAACCAACACTTTAAAAGTCTCAATTACCCTAACAAGAAGCAATATTTTCCTTTTTAAATTTTATTCTGTTATTATTAGATAAGAAGCATTCATCTTTCATAGTAAATACATCTGTCTTATCCATAGTTTATCAGGAAAAACAGCATTTTTTTAAAGTGTCCTTTCTTCCGTGGCAACCTTAGATGTAGCCCAGGGTTTAATTCCAACTATTAATCCCAGTTAGAATAGACCCATTAAATCTTTTAGAACTCAGCTGAATGGTGAGTCAGCACCTAAGTAAATCCCACACATTCAGTCTGTTCTGGCTGGAATTACCAATTGGATTTAGACCCAGGCGTTTTACCCTGAATACATTACAAAATGGACAGGTGATAGTAATATGTATGCATTCTTCTATCTGTTTTAATCACATGTAGATTCAAGGTAGAGTCTGTTTCCAAATCTTCTTTCCAGAATAGTTGAAGGCATCATATTCAGCTAAGGGTTCTTTCCTTCCAGTTCTGCAGTTTTTTCATATAATAGGATGAAATCCTGGGTCTGTAGGGGCCCTCTGCATAATCATTTTATATAAAATTAGCATGAATGGTGAACTCTGTGATGCCATTAAAATGACAAAGGGAGTTTGTCAGTGATATTTCCTAGATGCACTGCTCTTTAATTTATATAATTATGCAATTTCATGTCTGATGTTTCAGCCGTGCGCTGTTTCACCCATAAAATTGCTAACAAATGAAACCACTTCTTCCATATGTGGACAATACAGTGCTGTATTCTTTATGTTGAAATTGAACATTTCTGAATTCTGTATAGAGTTGAGGGGTACAGTTTGAAAAAAATCAAGGCAGAGATTACTTGATACATCTGTGTATTAAAAATATTTGACTACAATGATAATATCATGTTTGCCAGTTTTAGATGTGGACGTTGTCAACAGTTCTGATAGATGAAAAAGTGTCCTTTTCTATTAAGCTCCACTTTTTACTAATACACAAGTTGTACTTCATAAAAATAAAAGAAAGAAACCAACACTTTTGAAATAAAAGTGAACATTGTTGTTTTTTTCATGAACTATAGAGATCTGCACCTGTTTGCCTCGGACAAACAGCAGTAGATTTCAGCATGTGCACAATTTTTGTTTTAAATTGTGTGCAAAAGGCTGTTTGGAAGGGGGGGAGAGCCCAAGCCTCTGATCAGATAATGTATATGGAAAACATTGGATAGCAAAGGGTTTTTCATGGTGGTCAAGTGGTGTTCCAGCATATATTATATGGAGCCCATTTCTTCCCCTCTTGATCACATTTCTGCTTAGCTTGTGTTGGTAGCCTGTTTTATGTAGCACATTTGTTATATTCAATTATAAATAAATGCATATAGAGATCATTTATATACATATAATTATATACAGTATCTATAGTTTTCTATGCAGAGTCTTATTACAAGTTGTTGCTTGTATCTGTGAAGACTTCTGCATTTGTTTAAGCTAGGGCATTAGATATTAAGGAATTAGTTTCAGTTTGATACTATTTCATGACAATATCTGTGAATATTATTGTGCTCTCTCAGCAACTGGGAGAATGCAAAAACATGATTGATGCAACACCCTGAAGTGAGATTTTGGATGACTGCACTGGGTGTGTATTATTGGCAACCACAGTTAGGCCATAGGTGTATTTTAAATAGGTTCTCGTTTCCCCTTGCTCACTGTTAGGCTACTATAATGGCTGAAATCCTATTGCTCAATGCACTAAATGGTACTAGAGTAGGCCCACTGAATCAGTGGGGATTTGATGAGTCACCTCTTGTATTTCCATTGATTCAAATGACCAGTGTTTCATAATGTTATTGCTGTATTTAGAGCCAAGTGTTCCACTTTTCAGGTTAAGATTTCCATCCTCTACAGATTGTACAATAGACATCTAGGTAGCAAAAATTGGATTTGGATCCTTACGTGCCTGTGACATCACTGGCTGTACCAATGAACATTTTGCACATGTTCTGATGCTTGTTCTAGGTTGTGGGTGCAGTGATACTCTTTGTTGCATTTCTTTGCTCTCACTTGGTTACTCATTTAGCTGATATTAGTCACACAGCTCTTCATGCATATGTGCTTCTTTTTAAGCATGTGAGAACAAGAGTGTTTAGAATGTATCATTTATAGAACAATGACTGATTATCATGGATGCATATTAATAAAGAGGAAATGCCTTGAGATAAGGTTGGTTCCAATTTGCATAGTGCTGGCTAACTTATGAACTGCTTCTCAGAGGGATGTTGTGTCTGTGACACACGGATGAATTCAAATGGCTCTTTGGAAAGTTTCTCTAATGGAGGAGACGGGTTGAACAATCGTTGAGAACAGTGACATTTGTCTGGGGTTTGTACTGTTTAATGAGGTACTAGCACTTTAACAAAAACGAAGCAAACAAGGCTCAGTTTGTATCAAACTGAATTGTTATCAAAATGTGTTAATAGCATATGATATGTGAAGTATTTTTTCACACTAGAGGGTGCTATAATGCAGTTTAGAGTTTATTATGGCTAGAATTTTTGACCTACAGTAAAACATGAATAGATTAAAACATTTAAAGCTTTCCCACACTTCTGCTTAGTGGTTTGAAGGAGTGGAATATTGGTAATATTTAAATTGTAATTGTAGTTTTATGGTTTTATATATTTTTATACTGTTCTGTTTTATTTTGTAAGCCGCCCCGAGTAGACATGGTCTAGAGGGGCGGGGTAAAAATCAAATCAAATAAATAAATAAATAAATTTAAAGCAGGTTGAGAAATCCACTTTTAAACTGAGCTGGCTGGGCAAATAAGCCTAAATGTAATCCAGATAAAATAGAGATTCTGAAGTTAGAAAGCTGACTGATCTGAGTAGGGATGCATTGCTGGCCTTGGATAAAGTTGCTTTCCTCTTGAAGGGCAACATTTGCAGTTTGGGATTGTTGCTGGATTTTATACCTTAACAGAAGCCAAGATGGCAGCCATTCACAGTAGGAGCAGCCTTTTTTCAGTTTAAACTGGAATGCCAGTTAGTTAGTTAGTTAGTTAGTTAGTTAGTTAGTTAGTTAGTTAGTTAGTTAGTTAGTTAGTTATACCCCACCTTTCTCCTTGTAAAGGACCCAAGGTAGCTTAAAACATTGAAATACAATATTTAAAGCTTAATGGGTGTACAATGGTGGTAAGCAATCATTAAAAGACAATATTCAAAGCTAAATATCAGTGAGAACTGGCCATAGTTACCCCATCTACTAGTTAAATCTAGGCTACATTGCTGTAATATGCTTTATGCATTTATATAAATTATTTAGTAATTATTCAAACATCAACTGCAAATGCAGCTGACCGTTGGTTAATAGGGGCCTAAAAATTCTGAATGCATTACTCTAAATTTGCTGCACAAATTCATTTTCGCAGCCATTAGAAATGCTTGTTTTGCTGTTGGGTTATTTAGTGCCTCTTCATTATTTTGATCCTGGCCACTTAAGATCAGATACACAGTCCTCCTTCTAGCCTCATCAATAAGGTATATGAAGTAGCAAGATAGGGCTTTTTCAGCGGTGGCTTTGTAGTGTGGAAATACCTTTCACTAGACCTGCACATTGTCCTTTCAGTACATGCCTTCTAACTTGGCTTGAGTACTCATTTGTTTCAGACATTTTTTTTAAGTGGCCAGTATGCTGTTGCATAGTAATGCCTGGGTAACAGGAATGACCACATCAGCAGCTGCAGATTACCTCTAATTAAAGATTCCTTGATGATGTCATTTATACTGTGCTGGAATAGCTGCATAACAAGATTGTGACTGGTGTTTTAAATCCATTTGCTAGTCCCAACTATAGTAGAGCCATTTAACTAGTTTCATTGAGATTATTCTAATTGGGACCACTAATTGGAATCAGGCCAGTGCTTTTATGTCAGTGATTCCTGCAAGGTTGAGTTTTTTCACTGTATTCTTACAGGCTGACCAGTTGCATTTGTCCTAATGGTATTTATGGCTTTGAGGACAGCACAGAAGAGATTAAAACGGGTCCCCAACCCCAGTCCGCGGTCTGTGGCCTTCCTGGAACTGGGCCATGGAGAGGGATCTCTGCCCCCTACACATGCACACACGGTGGGCGTGTCGCACTCACGGAGGGGTGTGTCGTGCTTACGGGTGGGCGTGTCATGCTTGCGGGTGGATGCTTGTGGAGGGGCATGTTGTACTTGTGCGCATGCATGACACACCCCTCCATGAGCATGATACACCCACCCACGAACATGACACGCTGACCTGCGAGCGTGGGGGTGCCCACACACACACACGTGCACGGAGCCCGCACCCCCCAACTCGTCTGCAGTCCCAAAAAGGTTGGGGACCGCTGGTTAAAATATTATTTTGCAAATTTTTGCAGTTTTATGATGTAAAGTATTGCAGTGGGATTCTGGCCAGTATGTAAGAATTAGAACCTATATTTCTATATGTTTCTTCTTTTTTCATCACTTCACACTTTCCCCTACATGTCTCCTACCTTATGCACCCTAAAAATTACAAACTGCCTTCAGTGCATTGGCAAACAAGCAATGCTTCTGCATAGCAAATCATTCAGCCAGCTACAACTGGATACTAAGGAGCCTTGTGGCTCAGTGGTTAAACTGCTGTACTGCAGCCAAAACTGTTCTCACGACCCTGGGGTTCAATCCCAGGTAGTCGGCTCGAGGTTGACTCAGCCTTCTATCCTAACATAAATAGCTCAGAGAGTGCTCTAAGCACTATGGGTCGGTATATAAGCAGCACGCTTTGCTTTGCTTTTTACTAATCCCTTGGCCTAAAGGATTTTTGGTGGGTCAGCTGTATGGGACATCTTTAGGAAGACTCTGGGTAAGGTTTTATGTCACCCTCTGTTTTCTTGAGAACTTAGACCTTGTCTACTATAGCAGAATGCAATTCTTTGCATTATGATTTTATTACTACTTGAATGAGTGTAATACATAAGTGTGGAAGTGTGTGATTTTGATATGTGTTCATAACAATCTGAGAAAAATATGGGAATTGTAGGAATCATTATGTGCTTTTGTCGTAGCCTCAAGTTTTTATTTGCTTTTAAGGGTTGTTGTTGTTTTTACCACAATTCTAAATATCTGCTGAGTGAACTGTGACTGGAATTCAGTTCAGTTGTTAATTCCAACTACAATAGACCAGTTAAATCAGTGGAATTTACCTACTATCAATCCCATAATTCTTTTCTGTATGGATTTAGGCCTTTACTCCTATGTTATTTCCATTGCCATGGCCATTGATTAGTAGAATTAACAGATTTACTAACTTGGCAAGGAGTAATTAATGACATGGAGGTTGCATTCAGATCTGGCTCAGGGAAAGCAACAGATGTACAGATTTGAGTAACCGTGATCCTGGAATTCCCATTATATTTCAGATACTAAATAATAGGTGAAACTTTTATTACATGAGACTTCATAGACTAGTTTAAATTGGAATCTTTTTTTTCCCTTAGGGTAGACTTCTTCATACCTGGGGTTGCTGTAGTTGGTGGATTTTCAATATGTTCAAGTCCTGGTCTGTTGGAAAAAGAGGGAGTACTGGAACTCGCAATAAAACATACAACACACCCTCCTGCTCATTGGGTTCATACTCAGGTATCTAAGTGGTATTTTGCATGCTTAGTTTTAAAGAGTTACTGTTTGATATATTTTACTGTTTTAGTCACTATAAATTGCCTTACGGCATTTAGAGCAATATTGGTGTCAAGTGTTATTTCATTTTTATACCTCACACTCTCGGTGTCTGCAACAGAGTTCCTCAATCAGGTGCTGTCCAGTTATGTTACATAACAGCTTCTCTTATTCAGCTTGGCTGTGGACCATCACTTGTGTTGTTGTGTTAGGCTACAATACATCTACAGAAGACGAGTTTAAGGAAGATTTCATATCCAGAGATGTTTATATACAAAGGGTTATCTTTAACTGGATGTACTTATTTGGCAAAATCATGTCTCCCTCCTTGAATTGAAGATTCTGACAGACATACACTTTTCCTCAGATGTCTGATGCATGCTGCCCAAGGAGAGGAGAACGGGGGGGATTAATAAACAGCAGGTACAACAGCCTAATCTAAATATAAACTGGCATGCCATTGTCTGAAATTCTGTCTCCAACAATTAAGCACTTCCGATTTCTCCTCCAGAGGTCTCAAGGTTCCCATGGGGTGCCTGTTATCATCAGCAAGCCCAGAGGAGGGGGTGTTGGCTGGGAGAGCAAAGTCTTTAATTACCAAAAATTGCCACTGCCAGGGCAACATAACCAATGGCTGTAATTTTCAGTATTTAAAGACTTCCTCCTCCCAGCCTGTGGCTGCCAACAGTTTCTAATGATTGAAAGGGATTCCTTGGAAGCCTTGGGACTTCCAGGGAAAGTTTTGGAAATATCTAATTGCTGAAAAGTTGCCACTGCTGGTGACATCATCTGCCTTATGTGGTATGATTCAGGCTGTAATTGTTAAAGCAGGGCAGGAAAGTGACATGTCAACAGTGACTCCAAAATGCTGTATGGATGGTACATGCATCTAAGGCTAATGTCAGTAGCAGAGTAGACACAGTGATATTGTAAGTGTCTGGAAGCAGAAATCCTTTAAAACAACAGCATTTGTTGCTTTTGGTTCATTTTGTGCTATCAAAAGAGAGATGCTTTGCTTGCTGGTGTTCTGTTTGCTGACGAGCAGCTCAGTGTAAAATCAATGCCATCTTATCACTTCAGCAAAAAGGATTCCCAAGTGGCTCCTAATCCATCCATTTCCATGTGACCATAAAAAAGGGCTCCTACTGTTGTTAAATAGGTTAGTTTCATGCACCATTGGAATTTCAATAAAATAACTCACTTTGAAAGATGTTCTGGAAAAGTATAGAAACAGTGTTCCCGGACCAAGCATGCTTGTACAAATCCTTGTGGAGATTTCCTATTGATTCTCTGTTGCTCATTAGAGACCTCTCAAAATGCAACCTCATAATTATATGCCTCTGAGGCATCTCCTAGGAGGTTTGCTTCCTTCCTTCCTTCATTCTTTGTTTTATTTTATTTTTTATTTTTTAATTAAATTCATAGTGTCACAGATCTGAAAGCAGTTGAAAACATAGCCAGTTCTGGGGACAGCCTGTCAAGATATCATGATTAGTAAGTTCAAAGAACTGCTGATTATTAATTTAAGTTTTTATATTTATATTTTGTCTACCTGAAGTTTTAAAAATAGTGTGGATTTTATTTAAATCAGTTTAAATCGTAATTTAAACAGCAGCGTAAATCGGTTCTTAGAAAGATTTAATTTAACCATGTTATACCTCTGGTGTACCTTTGCTTGCTATAACCTACCCTGTTTTCCCGAAAATAAGACCTAGCCTGAAAATAAGCCCTAGTATGACTTTTCAGGATGATTGTAATATAAGCCCTACCCCCAAAATAAGCCCCAGTTAAGTGAAACCCTGCCCTCCACCGTTGTGTAGCAACCAGAAGATGACATGACTGTATTTGAATAAATGTAGATTGTTGTACATTAAAAAAAATAAAACATCCCCTGAAAATAAGCCCTAATGTATTTTTTGGAGCAAAAAATAATATAAGACCCTATCTTATTTTTCGGGGAAACACGATAAATACACAAGAACTTGTCACATCATAGTAAAAGGGGGGGTGAAGCTCTAGTTATAATTTCAGTCAGAATTGGAAGATAAGGACGATTAGTTTTGCCATTTCTCATATCCATATATTGCTATTAATAAATCTGTGTCTATGGAGATAAAACCTAGTCAAACAACTGCAAGATTTTCTAGTATCTCCTAGCTAGAATCTTAGACTACTTGGTAATCTATACAGAAGGCTATAGATCCCCAAGAAATTGAGTCCTAGTCCAATAATTGTTGGACCCTAAATACAAAACCTTTAAAAAAATCTGATTGCATTTATTAATAAGCAGCAGCAATTACTGAGTATTTCATAAACAACTGAAACTGAATCTGAGCCATTTTCATACATCAATATATGTATGTCATAGGTGGAGCCTAGAAATCTTTGCTTGAGTCTGAGAACAGTTGCTGTTGGCTGGCGGTTGTGTGCTACTTACTCGCTAGCTGTGGCTTTGCTTTTTTGACTTCTGTGGCAACAAAGCAGACACTTCTTTTTTTTTGTTGTTCACTTTATTTCATTTATTTCATTAGTAGAAATAAATACACCTTTTCCAAAACAAAAAAAAAAAACCCAACCAGAATTATTATAGGGACAATATGAGAAATGTTAGGCATATCCCGACCATATAACCTTATGGTATGTTTTTCTTAAATTATACAACTAAGTTCTGAACCAGAGATAGCTTGGAACTCTTTGTAGGTAGCTTAGTTACAGGCAATGCATTATGTTTCTTGCTGTTTTGCAGTGAATTGTTTATTGCAAACTGCTTTGGATACTTTAATTTAGCTGAAGGCTCCGCCATCACTCTCAGGGTTTGTATCTTTCCCGCATCCCGTCACCACCCAATAAGAAGAGTCCCTTCAAGCCAGAGGGAGAGAAGCCTGAGGGAAGGGGTGAAGCTTCGTTGTTTCCCTGCGGCAGATAGGATGAGAGAGAGACAGAGCATGCACGTTAGGGCAGTGGACGAGCTGGAGACAATCCCCTTGCCAGGTGCTGTTAGGGAAGGTGGGGGTGGGGTGGGAAAGGTCCTAGAGTCACTACCATCCATTCTAGGCAACTGTGGACCCCCAATATACTGGACCTAGCCGGATAAAAAGGCAAGGTGGGCCAGACACTTTTTCCTTAAATAATTAGACAAAAAATTGAGGTCATTTTATACACGGAAGGCAGCTGCTTTCCCTGCCTTTTGCGAAGCTACAGGGCTTAGCAAAAAGGAAGAGAAGGCTCCCTTCGGGTAAAGCAGCCGTGAAGTGGCTGCACGATAGGACTCCTTTGATCCTAAAGCAGCCATGAAAGGGCTTCAGGATCAAAGGAGTGCCCTCATGCAGCCCTTTCATGGCTGCTTCATCCACTTCATCCACTTCCTAAGCCCCACAGGGATCAAATTTTCTAATTTGGGGGTTAGAAAAGGGAGGGGTCGTCTTATACATTGGGTCATCTTATAAACGGAAAAATGTGGTAGTTTGGAGACCCCTGCTCTAGTGAATTACAAAGAACCACACTTTCCTTATTCCTGATTTAAGTAATGAAACAAGTTGTGTATGAGGCCAAATTAAAGATAGCAGACTTTGAGTAGCTTATGTAACTGAGAGCTTTGTTTCTTAAGATGGATGAATAAATAAACTTGGAATAGAGATAAGATGTAATGATAGATATAAATGTATTGACAGATATTTTAAAATGTTGAAACGAAGTATCCTAATTAAGAAGTTGCAGTTTTAATTTTACTTGTATGTTTTATATGCATTATGCATGTTTATGAGCATATGGATGTAACACTTCCTAAGTTGCTAAAGACTTGCAGGATGCAGAAACAGATAGCGTAATATGTTATGATTTTTTTTCCGGGTTTGGAACAATTCACATTTTACTATTTTCATGTTCTAGCTTAATAATTTTCTGGTGGCTGTTCTCCTTTGTATGTGTTGGGGCGATGGTAAATCAAACATGGATCCCAACTGTTCTGAGCAGAGTTCTTTTGACTGGACTGGGTTTTCTTTTTTCATACCTGCAGAATTTCCCAGCATGTCTGCTAAACTGCAGACAGGTTCCCTGCAATATAATATACATTGATGAAATCCAGTAGTAGGCTGTAATATGATGAATCAATGGAACTTACAGAGGAGTTGATCCTCCCCATTGATTTAGTGGGGCTATTATACTTGTGACTTACAACTGGACTTCAGCTAATCTGTATTATACTGCTGGGGCCTTGCAGTTTGGTGGACGTGTTTGAGCTTTGTTCAGATATGAAGAAAAGAAAGCCTTATTCGATGACTAGAAATCTGCTCAGAACAGTTGAGATCCATGTTTGATTCACTTCTCTGAAAATGGTTTTTCTCGTGATCTCTGTGAATGCACACAAATGGGTTAGACTGTGCCTGCACAGGAGTCCTCAGAATCTTCTAGAGCTTAAAAACATGTGATTAATAGGACGTTTCCCTGTGGCGCGCAAGTTCCTTCTTGCTGCTACTGAGATTGGACTCTTTTGCAATGTCTAGAGCTGTTGTGAATTGTTGCCTTTTTGTGATTTCTGGATTACTGACCTTTGGACTGATTACCATTTCTGATTTGGCTTACGGACTTTATTGTGATTTTTGGCTTCTAATCTATTTTGACTTTTGACTTGGACTGGCAATTGTTCATGTTTTCCCGTGAGTTCTTCTCTTTCTTCCCCTTTCCCCTCTCTTCTTCTGTTCCTGCCAATTTTTATGGCCTCGTCAGGTCCCTTTAAGCACTGTACATCGTGTGCTAATAAGATCCCCTTCGCAGACAGCCATGACCGTTGCTTATTTCGTTTAGGGGAGAGGCAACAGACCCACTCCCTCCGGAGTGTAAGAAGTTGACCAAGCCTGCCCTTAAGCTCTGCTTACAGCAGCTTCGTTCATACTTGTGGGAGAAGTTTTTAACACCCCCGACCCCGGCAGACATGGAGCCTACCTTGACTCCTGCTCCTCCTACTCCTCGTTCCAAGCCTGCCGCTTCATCGGCTCCTGTCACCCCTTCTCCGCGGGCTTCTTCGAAAGCACCTAAACCGAAAAAGTCTTCTACATCGATGTCAAGCTCAATATTGAAATTGCCATCGGTAAAGGATCCTAAGAAAAAGAAATAGGTGGTTAAGCAGAAAAAGCCTAGACAGTCTGCTAAATCTACTCATCCTCAGGAGCTCCCTCCAGTTAGAGTTTCTCTTCTGTCACCAATACTCAAGGAATCATCCAGAGAGTTACCAGATCCAGACTCTCCTTCTTTAGCAGGCAATTCTGTACTTCCACAACAGGCTCAAGCTTCAGTATCGATATCGAGCCTCTCTCCCACTCATGGCCATTCTGAGGCTGATGTGATCTCCAGCCCAGCCTCGGCCCATTTGAGCCCTATGTCAGTCGGCCAGGCAAAAACCAGCCTTGGCCCATTTGAGCCCTATGTCAGTCGGGCAGGCAAAAGTAATTCAACTGTCAAACTCGGAGGTGTCGCCATAGCAGTCTCCTCCATGTAAATGGCTGGCTAAACGTCGGCACATCTCTCCACCCCGACAGTATCCTCAGCATCTGGAGGTTATATTTCTTCCTCGTCTGTCTTGACATCGGGCGTTCTCAGATTATGAGGAGCCTTTGTATGTAGAGGTTGATAGAAGGGGTGATCGATGTTGATACCATGGGGACGACCTCAACCTCGATCCCTGCTATGATGCCGGTGATTATGTAAGAGCCAAAAGAGTGTGTTATGTCTATGCCTCTTCTTCTAGATCCTCCCCATCACCCTCTCCTCCTCGGTGTCGACATTGAGCTTATTATCAGCTTGACCCTCCGCCATCAAAGCTGGCTTCTAAACACCATTTATCTCAGCAAGATGTTTCTCAATGAGCAGTCCATCCGTCAAAGCGTTTTCATGTCCCTTCGGTACCGTCATCCTTGGTATCGCAACCGAGAGCATCTCACATTCGGTCTTCTTGTCAGGGTGCTTCTTCTAAAAGTTCTAATCCACCTGAAACAGACACTTCGGCACCAATTCCTTGAGCTCCAGTCCATGTATCAAGAAGGTCGGGGGGCCCTGGTCTACACCATCAACCTTTGTGACACGAAAGTTCTAATCCACCTGAAACAGACACTTTGGCACCAATTCCTTGAGCTCCAGCCCATGTATCAAGAAGATTGGGGGGCCCTGGTCTACACCATCGACCTTTGTGACACACTACCGTCTGGACGTCAGGGCCGAAAAGGAAGCAAGTTTTGGAAGGGCTGTGCTGACTTCAGTGTTGGCGTGATGGCCCTCCTTCCGGTAAGCGAGCTTGCTAGTCACCCATTTGTGTGCATTCACAGAGGCCACGAAGAAGAAAGGGAGGTTACTTACCTGTAACCATAGTTCTTCGAGTGGTCCTCTGTGAATCCACAGGCCCCGCCCATCCTCCCTGCTGTCCATCACTTTGGTTCTTGAGCTTTGTTGCTATTAGAGCCTTGACAGTGGTGGACATTTTGGAACTGAGGTATTACGGGCCGGCAGAGCATGCGCACCACGGGTGGACATCCTATTAATCACATTTTTAAGCTCTAGAAGATTCCGATGAGTCCTGCACAGGTGCAGTCTAACCCATTTGTGTGGATTCACAGAGGACCACTGGAAGAACTATGGTTACAGGTAAGTAACCTCTCTATTTCAGTCATTGTGGCAGAAGGGGAAGATTGGCAGAACTGTTTGTCACTAATACTGTACAGTATTTGGAATATATATGTGTCTTTTTAAACAAATGCTTTTATGTAGCTGACTGTTTCTGAAGTGGATCAGCTACATTGTTCTAAGTAGTGATTGTTTAAAGTAGGCGGCCCTTTTACACAGATGACCTCAAGGAACTGCAGCTATATCAATCTAGATTTTCTTTTGCATATAGTGATTATCCTGGAGAGATTGTATGTGTGCATTTTTTATCCCAGAAGTGCTTGTTCATTTCCCTGATTAGTTACACTACTGGTTATCATGCGCTCATGACGGCTGCTAATATTGTTGTATGTTGTTTTAATGCATGAGGATTGAAGGAGAATTCTAGTTTCATTTCTTCCCACTACTTAGCATGCCTCTTGTGAGAATTCTTTTAAAAGTATGTGACTGCTCAATTCCCGGGACCCTATAATCCCTGTTTTGAACTTGTAACTCCAGCTGAACATCAGACACTTCCTTTCTTTTTAAAGCTATATCATGGAATCAGTGGAAGAATGTAACTGTATACTGTTATCTCTCAGAACAATCGGCCAAATCACATTCTTAACTTTCGAGAAAATGTGCGTTAGACTAACTTAACCTTTTGTTTTCCAGTGATGTGCCTAAGATCTGTGAATGAAGCATTGCAGTCCAAGCTTTGTCTTCAACTTCTGAGGTTATTGGACAATACTATGCATAGTTTGCTTTACCAACTTTAATCTCTTTCTTTTTCTCCTCCTCCTCCTCCTCTAGTGCACTCTTGATTCTGAAGTGGCTTTAAGAGTGGGAGGCAACTTCTACTTTGATCCGCAGCCTGCTGACCCTCCTGCAAACCTGGTGCTCATAGCAGGTGGAGTGGGAATTAACCCTTTGTTCTCCATACTGCTTCACGCCGCAGACCTTCATAGAGCTCAGGAGAACAAAAGAACAGCATACAAAATGGGAATGACATATCTGTTCTACTGTGCAAAAAGCACAGATGAGCTGCTATTTAGGGTAGGTTAATGAAATGAGTTGTAGTCATTTGTTTTACACCAGAACAGTAGTTTAATTCTGTGAGCTTTGGGTAATGGAAAGCACTTGAACTGGAAGCAGGTATAGAAGAGCAACACCATATTAGACGAAGCAAGAGATAAGAATGTGAGTGCAAATGCTGGGTTTTGCTGAACGGCCTGGCTTCCGTTGCTGTTGTTCTCTCCTTCCTTGTCTGACATCATCACGTTGTTGACTCTGCCACTTCCTAGTCAAGCCAACCATTTCTGTCATAGGAGCTAGAGAGCCAGCTAAGTCAGGACAGTGTTTGCATTAGGAGTGGGGAACCTGTAGTCTTAGACTACAGGTCCCAGAATCACTGCTGCTTTTGGTCTTCTGGGAGTTGGGGCAAAGACATTTGTTGGGGCCAAAATCCTGCATCTGTGGCCTATATGAAGAAGTGCTTCTTTGGTTGGCACTCAGAGGTTGATTGTGGAGGTTTTGGCTGGTGGAAAGGCAGCATACAGATTGGAACAGCTGTTTTCTCCTCCTACAGAGCATGGGGAGAAATATGCCCTTTCCAAGATTACCTTCCTCTTTTTAATTGCTATATTCCTTTTCCTGTCGCTGGGCCACATCCATATGCTTTACCTCTTTTTATCCCTACCAATATGTGTGTATTACTCTGCTGGCTGGATAGCTCAGTGATTTAGATATCTCCGGCTGCAGAGGTTGGGAATTCAATTCCCCACTGTGCTTTCCCATGAGAAGAGTCAACCTGTGCAGTCATGGGCAAGCTGCACATTTCCCAGAAGAAGGGAATGGTAAACTACTTCTGAGTACGCCATCTGAGAAACCCTGAAAATGGGTCATTATAAGTGAGAATTTAATTGAGGGTGCATCATTATTAGCTACTAATCAGAAGAAGAATACAAGCATCTGGAGCAGGATGTGGGTGATCATCTTCTCCTGAAAGCATATTTGCATCCTGGGAATTTGGGGTGTGTTTTACTTAGAAGAGAAATAGCTCTTGACTTGTAGAGATGGAAACAGTTGCATTCTCTTTTCATTAAATATAGTGCACTCAAAGTGCTCAATTTTGTAGAGTTGGACTAGGCACAGACTGCATCTGCTTTGATTTATTTGGCTGTGGCATGACCAAATATTCTTAACATTCCAGAAACATATCCTTGATTTGACATCTGCATTTCCTGGAAAGATTTCTTGCAATTTCCATGTTACTCAGCAAAGTTCACCCATCTGTGAGAAACTTCAGCCTTACATCAAGGGTGGGTACTGTTGTGATGCATAAAAAGATTGAAAGCTGTGGTGGCATTGCAGATTATGACTAGAATGTTAAGTTAAAGGAGATGTAACTAAACTTGTATTTTCATATGCAGTTAGATCCAGAAATAATTGGACACGGACACAGTTTTCATCATTCTGGCTCTGTACACCACCACAATGGATTTGAAATTAAACAACCAATATGTAATTGAAGTGCAGACTCATCTTTAATTCCCAAGGGGTTGAACAAAAATATTGTATGAAATGTTTAGGAATTGCATACACAGTCTCCTTATTTCAGGGCCTCAAATGTTATTGGACAGATTAACACAGTTATAAATAAAATGTTCATTTTAATACTTTTTCAAGAATCCTTTGTAGGCAATGACTGCTTGAGGTCTGGAACGTATGGACATCACTGAACGCTGGGTTTCCTCCTTTGTGATGTTTTGCCAGGCCTTTGCTGCAGCCTTTTAGTTGTTGTTTGTTCATAGGTCTTTCTGCCTTAAGGTTGCCTGGGTTTCCTCCTTTGTGATGTTTTGCCAAGCCTTTGCCTTTAGTTGTTGTTTGTTCATGGGTCTTTCTGCCTTAAGGTTGGCCTTCATCAAGTGAAATGCATGCTCGATCAGGTTGAGATCAGGTGATTGACTCAGCCATTGGAGAATATTCCACTTTTTGCCTTGAAAAACTCCTGGGTTACTTTTGCAATATGTTTGGGTCATTGTCCATCTGTAAAGTGAAGCACCATCCAATCCATTTCGCTGAGCAGTCAATATATACACCTCAGAATTAATCTGACTGCTTCCGTCTTCTGTCACATCATGAATAAACACTAGTGATGCAGTGCCTTTGGAAGCCATGCATGCTGTTGCCATCACACTGCCTGCACCGTGTTTTACAGATGATGTAATATGCTTCAGATCATGAGCCGTTCCAAGCCTTCTCCATACTTTTTCGTTCCCATCATTCTGTTGCAGGTTGATCTTAGTTTCATCTGTTCAAAGATGTTCCAGAACCAAGCTGGGTTTTAATATTTTTGCCAAGTATAAAACTTAATTCAGTGTCCAATTATTTCTGAACCTAACTGTATAATAAAAAGTCTTGAGCCGGAAACATGATGAGTCCTTTCCAGTCCTACGCATGGTTACTCAAACTCTCAGGTGAATTTTCATTGATTTCAAACTAAGCAAAGATATCATACACAGAAATACTGACTTTTGAATACATTGGGGCAGTTTCTCTGTTACTATATCAGTGCTTTTAGTTGCTCCAAATTCTTTTTCTAGAGCTTATTTCTTCTTTAGAAAGATGTCCTTCCCTTCCAGTTTTATTTATTTACCTTGGTATTACCTAGCTTAAAAGTATGTGTGGTTTTGCTTCCATTTCTGTTATACCACAGAGACAACCTCTTCAAACTCTTCCTGGGATTCTGCAGGGTGAGGTTGGCAAAGGGTGGAGATTACCATTATACTGTTAGTAAGAACAGGCTTCTAAAGAAAATGGTAAATTTAATAGTGCACACTGTCCCAAATAGCTGAAACTTGTTTTATTTTCTTAAGTGAATTTTTAAGATAATTTCTCTTGCCTCCATGTATTCTTTAATAGAAGGAAGATTGTGTGGAAATGATCTAGAAAAATGCATCTCCAAGGATAATTTGTGGTATATCTGCGGTCCACCCCCAATGATAGAATTCATCTCTGAACTGCTGGAAAATCTTGGTGTGGCTCAAAAGAATATTTTCTTTGAGAAATGGTGGTAGCATATGGCAGCAGTTCTTCAGCAGAAAACTGAAATGAAGATAATGGAAGATCGAGATAACTATACGTAGATGAACGATGAGACTTTACAGAAAGTAAAAACTGTTATTTGCCAAAATGTGATCATTCTGTATTAAATAATGTAACTTATTTTTAAATTTTAATTTAATTCTTGATTAAAGTATATTATGTAAACACTAAGATATAACTTTTACAATAAAATATATTTCATTAAGCATTTTGTCAGGGTTTTTTATTATATATTTATCTTATTACATGTGTTTTTGAGGTATAAAAATACAAACTGAAATCTAAGGAGTAGGGAACTAACTCTCCTCATGCTGAAGGCATAGACCTGTTTTCTTTTAAAGTGGTTTCTTGTCTTTTTAGCAGTGAAGAACTGTTGCAGTGAGATCAACAAATGAAGGTGTGACTGAACATTCTAGTCAGTTAGTTGGATCTAGATTTAGGCACATGCAAACGGTAAAGGACTTTCTGCCTTTGTGGCAGTTCCTGAAAGATGCTTGTGAGGGAGGATGAGAGTTTAGTCCAACCTGTCTGGAGGGCACCAGAGAAGGAAAGTCTATCCTAACATTGCACCATATAAATCAAGTGAGTTTTGTCACTCACATAGGTTCACCTTTGGACACAACTTGTTCTTTTCCCCTTTTTTGCTGCCACCAGAGGATATTATCCTCACTATATCAATTATGAATCTCGCACTCTTGCTGCCAAATAGAACAAGGTTTGTTTATGGATTCGTAAGTAAACCACAGAAGGAAAATCATGGATGTTCTATTATCTTTCATTCAATAAATGTGGATTTGATTACATGTAAGATTGCTTGTATTCATTTATTTTAATCAAGATCTCAATATACAGTATTCTGCCTGTCTATGTACTTCTAATTCCTTTTAACTCTTTAATATTCTCTAACACACCAACTGCCCAATATCTTGTCTAAACACAGTCTTCTCCCTAACTCTCGCACTTCTATTCCCTCTCTCCCTAACTGCCTCCCTGGCTCTCCCAGTTCTCCTGACTCCACCCCTCCTGTCCTGTCATAGGCTCCTGCTCTAGAGCTCTAAAATGACTGATGAGAGTGACGTGTGGGCTGTCCGCCACAGATGGCTAATTTAAATACTTTACCATTATATAGCCGTTACCATTTTGAACTGATTATGTAAACAAAAAATCTTGAGGTTACCAAAAGGTGCTAAATGATTTAGAAAATGATAGATTTATTAATATATGTCTATATGATTGCCACATAATTGGGAGGACAACAGCAGGATAAGGATGTTGCTTATGAATTTGGTAATTCTGAGCCACAGGATGCTGGATCAGATTGGACTTTATGTCTGATCTAGTGGCATTCTCAAGAACTTGGGAAACTAGAATCTTGTCAGCCAGCCTGAACACAAGAAAAGTAACTTCCTAAGCTGTTGTTTTATAGACCTGGTGAAGTCATCATAATAAATACAGCAAGAAATCACAATAGTAAAATCACTTTTTAAAAAATAGGTGGGATTTTTAAAAATATAATATTGTTGAAGACCTTGAGATCAAACTACTAGAATGGTACATACCAGGTGTCTCTGTAGAACCAATTTCTTGTATTTTTAATGTGAGTCCACTACTGTAACTTCTTGTTTCATTTATCATGTTTTTGCTTATAACTTCAGTTGGAATAGATCAAACATTAGCTATAGTATTGCCAGGTCAGAAGCATCCCATTCCCTGAGATTTTAGGACCAAAAGCAGAGGTGAGGTGGTTGGCAATGGCACAGGAATGAGGCAGGTAAGATGTGGAAGTGTCCAACTAATCAAGGAAAACTGGCATGCAGATGATCCAGGTAAAAGGGCCCATAATTTCTAGTAAAACCCAGCTAACCAGGTTATGATGAGCAAATGGAATCTTTCTTCAGCAACTGGCAAAGCTGCAAGACATGCCTAGCAGCTGTAATGGTTGTTGTCATTCCTGTGAGGGTTCACATCTTCCATTGAATTATCTGTCACCTACATGACCTGGTGGAGTTTCCCTGGTGCAGCTCTGCTGCTTAAGCTTTTCAGAAGCTCACAATCAGTGCAAAGTAAGTCCCCTTCCCCAGGTATACGTGACTTGTGACATTGGTGCTTCACTTCCTGAAGGTACAACTCTTGTCCAGAATTTTGAGACTAAATTCTTGGAGAATTTTTCCCCACGTCATGTGTATTGATTATACCAGGTTTTCCACTGCTGTTTGAAACCATCTCCAGGGTGCTTGCTGTTCTTTTCACTTTTGTACTGGTGGCAGAGCTCAGGCAGCAAGAGGTTTTCCAGTCAATCTAGCATTATTCTGCTTGAAATTTGTTTTTAATCCAGCAGATCATTTCTAAGGCTGTCTTGAGATTTGTAAAATAGTGTTTTTTAAAGGGTATTTGATTTCTAAAGTAGATTAGTAGTGGCTGTCTACTGCCCTCAGAACCTTTCAATTTAGTGCTAATCTGCTGAAGCAAACAAAAGATCCAACAAATAGTATCACTTTAAAAGGGTCATAATAGATTTCTTCAAGCTTTTTGAAAGACAGTGAACTGCTGATTTCTTAAGAGAAGTAGGTTAGGATGGACAGAGATTTGAGTGAGAGCTGTCCTTTAGAGCAATGATTCCCAAGCTTGGGTCCCCAGATGTTCTTGGACTACAGCTCCCAGAAGCCTTCACTACTAGCTGTGCTGGTCAGGATTTCTGGGAAATATAGCTTAAGAACATCTGGGGCCCCAAAGTTGGGGGCCACTGCTTTAGAGGCACTAACCAGCACAAAGGGGGAAAGTAACAAATGTTCCATCTGGATGAGCCAAGATGAATCTCAGTTGTGACACCTGCTGGATTAATTCTCTATACCAGAATTGGATGAATTCTGTAACCGCCCAGAGTAGACCTTTGGTCTAGATGGGCGGGATAAACATCTCATAAATAAATAAAATACCATCCAGTTCATGGCAGGAGAATTAGACCCTAAAGCAAAATAATCTATAATATATTGTGTGGGATGTTGTCCTTGCACAGGTTTGCCTAAAACATTATCAGTAGTGCTTCTATGGTTGAAACCAGTTTTGTAATTAAACCAGTTTTCTGTAATTAAAGATTTCTTGCTCCCATCTCTCAGCACCCTAGTAGTAACAGGGATTACATTGGAGCTCTAAGGTCCCATTAGACAGAAGAGACAGAAGTAAGAGGTTTGTAATTCCTAAAGAATTTCTCCTGCTGATGATAGCAGCAGCAGCCCTACATGGCATACTAAGTTACAGAACAGGATTCCAGCCATTATGTAAACTGTTATAATCACTCTGAAAACCTACAAGTAATACACAGAATGGAGGTACAGTATTGTATTAGGTTACATGTGTAACTCTTTTGCCCCAGCAGTTAGAGAGACTGCCTGCTAAGGTATAGTACTGCTCTATGCTTTTTAAAAACTGTTCTTGGTATTTTTGCAGTGTGATTTTTGGCTGGGGGGTTTATGTTTCTGTGCTGTGATGGGTCTTGGGGGTTGTTGGTTGGTTGGTTTTTTCTCCCATTTCCGATGGGGTTGGTTGCTTTTTGGAGTGTTTTTCCCATTTCCAATGGGTCTTAAAGGGTTTGTTTTTTGGTTCCCCCCATTTCCCATGGGTCTTGGGGGTTCTGGTTGCTTTTGGGGTCCCCCCCATTTTCAGTGTGTCTTGCATGCTTCCGTTGCTTTTTGCTTTGTTCTCTTTGCATTTCTGATCTGCTCCCTTTGATTTATGTGCATCTCCGACCTTGTCCCTTTATTCTCTGTGCATTTCTAATCTGCTCCGTTTGTTTGCTTTTGCAATGGGTCCTGCATGCTTACCTTGCTTTTCTTCCCCCCACCCCACTTCAGCCGGAAGGGATTAATCACGTTTCCAATGAGTCTTGCAGTGATTTTTTTAAATTTTATTTTTGGTAATTTTTTTCTTTGGCCGTAATGGATTAATTGCATTTCAATGCATTCCTATGGGAAAGGGTGCTTCAATTTATGGCCATTTCAAGTTACGACCATCATTCTGGAACAGATTATGGTTGTAAATTGAGGCACCACTGTATCTGGGTCACTTCAGGTCATGTTAGAATTTGGTTAAAGGGCCGTAGCACCGAAGACACATTGTGAGAACTAACCAGCAATAATTGGATATACTGTACTATAATTCATGAATGTTTGCTGTAATACCCAAGCAGAGGTAATTTTAAAATCTAGAGCAAAAATTTGTTCTGTCAGAGGTAGTCAACTACTACTCCTTTGAAGCTAGGCATGAAATTACACACCATATATGGTACATCAATGACAGAATTCAGAAATAAACATATATTCCTCTCCTCCCTCCTGCATCCCATTTTCTGCTTATGCATTTTACCACTCTTGAGCTGATGGAAGACTTAACTAGCAATACATGCTTTCCTCTCTTAGGCTATGCAGGGAGAATTTATTTTGATAGCATTAGCTTTCCTTGATTTCAAGTGAGTCAGTATGTCATGTCAGTACCCTAATTTGAGGGGGAGAGGGTATTTAGCTCAGTGCAAAGCATACAGAGTATGGAGCTCTTGTCAACTCGCATAAATATTGAGGATGCCTTTTTTCTTTGAAATGCCAATTCTGATCTTTTTAAATTCTCTGAGCTAGAGGGAATTAATCTTCCTGAAAAGGGAGATTATCTGTGACAGGAGCAGTGTCAGGTCTAAAGTGGAACGATAAACCAATGTTCCAGAGTTGCTCTTTAATACCGTTTCCTTTATCTCTGATTTTTTAAACAGTTGAAAAGAAGATGAAGGACAAATGGTCCTTTCAGGATACAGTAGCACAATTGTGATCCATTCCATTGGTGCTTGACCCTGTTCCCGCCCCCCCAGAATGTCAACAAACACACATCTAGGGATCCCTAGGTTTTTTACTGCTGAGTCTTGACCCCTTTACCATGCTCTCTCTGTGCTGGCTCTGATGGCCTATATTTAGATGGTCTTGTACTGATGCATGGCTACAGGGACTAAAGCATATCTGTTTAATTGTAGGATGTCACACGCACTGAACAATTTATAAAATGCTTCAGCATAGGACCCCCTATGAAGAGGTCCCAGATCAAAGCCTGTTAACTGTAGGAAAGATGTTCTACTTTGTGAATTTCAGTCGTGCTATTGCCAAGATTTTAATAACATGAGCACAT